AACTGATAACCGTGATTGTTTTCCAGCAAGAGAGACAAGCCGACACGAGTCTAGTTAAGAAAGACTGAGACAAGTTTACTGTAAGTTGGCTAATCGATTATTTATGCTATCTTCTAACAGATTATAGAATCGAGCAAGCGGAAACTTCAAACATGTCAGAGATGGTTATGAAATCCCTACTTGCTCGATCACGTAACCTGTTAGAAGGCAACAGAAATAATCAATTAGCCAACTTGCTCCAGTTTCCTTTATATCATTATTTGGTATATCATAATATATTTATTTCGCATTTGATAAGGAAAGGAATAATAGATGATATAAGATATTAGACTTGTGTCGACTTTTGCCTTTTGTCGGAAAGCAGCTTTGACATATCTCAACCGGAAACTAGACGCAAATATGGCGAAGCCAATCAGAAATCGGATATACGGTATCCAAACTCTTATTATAAGGACTCTACCTTCACGAATCTTCCAGAGACATCTCGATTTTTCCGTTTGGTTCCGCCGTAGGAAGTCGATCTACACGACAACTTCTCTCTCGATTCTGTCACTTCGCGGATTTTTCCGAGAAATGTCGCAGTTCCGCGCGATTAATCCGTCACGCAGGTCAAGGGATGGACAGCCGATACGCGCCGGGTGATGGAAACGGAAACGATCCGCGCGCTCCGCAAGCACAGCAATCTGACCGCGGCGGCGGGCCGCTTGCAGGTTATATAGTTTAGCAAGCTTCGGACTCGATCACACTTGTTGAGGGGAAGCCTTCGCACCACCTCCACCATCCGCCACCACCTCCTCCTCCTCCTGCTGCTTGTCCTCCGCCTCTCACGGTATTCTCTTCCCCCTTCGTTCTCTCTTTCTCTACCTTGTCCGACCTCCCTTCTCCTTTTCCTCCGCGCCGGTCCCCCCCTCCTCCCTCCAAGCTTCCCTCTTTTGCTCTTTCTCTCCTCTACCTTTGCCTCATGATCTATCTCTCCCACCTAGTGTGCACCTAGTGAGCACCTCCGAGCAGACGACCTTGACCTCACGCCGCGTCCGCGTCGTCATAATGTTTTCATCTAGGCGTTCGCGCCTATCCCTCGGTATCGAGGGAGATGTGGGGGAGAAGATCGAGGATTCGCGCGACCGATCACACACGAGCGCAGAAATGCTGTGATGACACCGCCGGCAGCTGAAGCTCCGTCGACGAACGTGGAATCGCAATTCCGGGAGGGGGTTCGGCCGATAGTATCGTCGGAATTCGACGATCGACGTCGGCAAATGTCAAATCGATTGTACTTGAGATTGCAGGCTTATTACGACGCTCGCGCGAGCTGGGGAGCCGCATTACAGCGGGAATACTATAATTATCGTACCGGTTGGCAACCGGAGGGGTTACTAACCCTTGGCGACCATGTGCCGATGACTCGTTCGGGACGGTCTCCCCACCTCTACCCTCACCGTCAACCCTTACCGCCCACTGCTCACGTCGCAACGTCGTTTCTTGATTATTGGCGCCACCGCGTTCTTTTCTTCGAGAAGCCCGCGGCTGAGGGTTAAGACAAGTAGGCGTAAGCGCGAAAGAAAGAGACAAGGAAGGAGGGAGGGAGGCAGAGAGAGAGAGAGAGAGAGAGAGAGACAGGTGCAGAGACTCCCACGCGAGTTATGTCATTACGACCGAGCAAGATACGCTCGTGACTGATAACGCGTCCGCACGAGTTACGAGAAGGGTCGCCGTCGCATCGTCATCCAAAACGTAGCACAATGATTAACACAAACGCTGAAGAGGAGAACTAGTGTCTCAAGCGAAGCTTTACGTCCACGACGTTTGTAATTAGGTGCGTAATTATTATTTTTTAAAGTTTCGGAAAACTTCCGTTTCTTCCTCAATTTTTTCGAGGACTCCTTAGTTTCTTACCTTCTTTACAGAAATATATAAATGTGGCAGGTTTCAGCCCTCTAATGGTGAGGTGGGGTCAGATTCATCCCACGATTTCGTTTATTTTACAGCGTGCATGCGCTGTTTTTCTTCTTAACACGAAAAAATTAGTCTTAAATAAATGATAGATATTCTCATACATAAGCAAGAATATAATAATCTTCTTAGAAGATTTTTAGCCTTGATTTGACTGAATTTGTGTATTGATGCAAGTATTGCACTTAATTCAAGACTAAAAATCTTCTAAGAATATTATAATATTTTAGCTCATATATGAGAACATCTATCGTTGATTTAAAACTATTTCTTTTCTGTGTGAAAGAACGTTTCATGTTATTAAGATCTTTTAAATTTATACGAATAATTATTACTACATATGAATAATTATTACTACATGATGATGTCACTGCGACACTGAAAAATGAGTTTGATTGCATCTACTTGACGATGGACAAGCAAATACGTTTTGGTTGAGATAAATTGAATTTTTAGTTAGGGGAACCAAATTTGATTCATAAGACCTAGAATTTTTGTTTCCTCCAAGCAAAACGCTGTCCATTGTCAGGTAGATCCAGTTCAGTTCATTTTTCAGTATAAAAAAGCACAGTGCGTCCCGTTAATTTTACTTCGAGAGATCGCACACACGACGTGGGTGAAAATCGGCCGGTTTCCGATAAGAATAAGCAAGACGAGTCGTGAGCCGCCTCATTAGCGAGAAACGCGCGCGTGATAACCACTGGCGCACACGTCGGCCACTTATCGCGCGGTTTCACCGAAGGCAACTGAAAGAACGTGGAGTGCCAACCACCTCTGGCCGACGAGCGGCCGCAAAGGCGGCGATAATCAATCGCTCGTAAACATCGCGGCGAAATCACGGTGGCAAGTTCCGCGTGCGCGCGTATCTGCTCTCTATTGCTGTTTACAGCTGTCGCTCGCCGAGACGAGAGAGAGAGAGAGAGAGAGAGACGCAAGAAAAAGAACCCGTGTCCGCCGTGCGAGAAAAAATTAGCGCGACGTTCGCAAAGTCGCGAGGAAATGTTTGTGAGGAGGAATTCACGGGGAGAACGAGGGTCTTCTGTCTTTGTAATTTCTTCCGAATTTCTCAGCAATCTCCCGACGTCGACGACACTGAGTGTTCCACGATTTGTCGCGGTCGCCAAGTTTCGCGATTCTCCAGGGAGAAACAGATCGAAAGTATCGCGGACTGCCTTTTTATTTATCGCGCTTTATTTCGCTAGTGGAATTGGGCTCCAGAACGATACCGTCGCTCTCGGAAACTTCGGACGAGATCTGAGCCTCCGACAGCCGACCGGAGATGTGCCTTTCTTCTGAAGAGAGAGAGAGAGAGAGAGAGAGAGAGAGAGAGAGAGAGAGACGCCGTTTCAGTGTCTGGAAAAAGTGGATTTTTATTGCGTTTCTTTCGGCGGGAAGAAAAATGTAGCGAGGAAAAATCTAAGGAATCTGGCAAATTGGAGAACCGCACCCGGGCAGTTCGCGAATGCCGGATTCGTCGGAATTTTTAAGGTTTCACGATACCGCATATATTCTAAGACGAATACATATTCTCTCCGTCCGTTATTCAGTTAGCGAAGGTCCAGAACATCTGGAATTTCCAGACGCAAGGTTGCAAGCGATGCAACGTAATAGATTTTGTTTCGTAAGCGTATCTCTCTCTCTCTCTCTCTCTTCCTCATTCTCCCTCTGCGAGTCCGCTTCAGCAAGAAACGGGCAACGACATCGGTTGTGTTCCAGTTCCGGGTATCGATTTGTCGCGTTAAACGCGCGATAGGTGAAAGCGAGCGCTTTAATCCCGTCGCGAGCGGGAGAGCGAGAGGACGCGGCGATTATCGGAGCACCGAAGGAGAGCTTAGAGGTGCCGCGAGAGCCGGAGCAGCGTTAGAGCTCTCTCGCGGAATCTGGGCCATCGAGCCGCCGCGCTATCTGTTCGCCGATGCCAAATTCGCGTGAGTTATAGTTAGTCGCACTAATAATGGGTTATACTATCTCGGCCTGCTTAAACGCTAGCGAGAATCGGTGTTTCGGAAATCGCGCCTATCTATCTATCTATTTATCTATCTATCCATCTATCGACCGACTGACCAAACGCTTCTGCTTGCGTAATCCCGACGTAAAAATACTTGTTGCGTCCGAGAACGCGAATCGGGGAGCTCGTCGATTCGAGCAGGATCCGCGAGCGAAATATGCACATGACACAGCGAACGATATTTTTAAATACTTTCAAGGGAACCGAACCGACCAGACAGACGTTTGGAAAATCGCGTTTAATATCTCTTGAAATACGCATATGTGCGCTTGTGTGCGTGTGCTTCGTGAAGCATGATGAATTCACTTCACGCAATGGGCACTCACGAGTGCGTATTCTTGATTCGCCAAAGCTAAGCGCGAGGTGCGACTCAACGTTCCAAGAATGGAACGACCGGCCATCGAAGAGTCGTTAAAAAAAGAAAGAAAGAAAGAAAGAGAGAGAGAGAGAGAGAGAGAGAACACAAAAGAGGAGGGACGAGAGCCAAACAATTAAAACCATTTCTATCTTTCCGCGGTATATTCTCAAATTATCCTCCAGGCGGTGCGCCGGCGTTTTTACGTAACGTCGGCTGGGCTTCAGTGAAATCGATTGCAACCGGATGCTAATTAAAAGCGAGGTCCGCGAAAATTCATTTTCTCGTTCGTTCCGCGCGCGCGAGAACAACGTCGAACAAAACGAAATGGCAGGCTACGCGATTTCGCGCGCGCAATTATTCATCGACGGAATCCGCCGCGTCCCGTAATTGTTAATCATAAGCGACGTCATGTGCCGCCCGCTGCCGTCGCGCACACAACGGTACTTTTTGTCGCCCCGACAATGGCGCGACTCTTTGTTTATCTTGTTAGGCAATATTTCGCGACTGAGAGAACGTGACAAGTGTTATTGATATTATAGTCCATAGATACACACGGCGCCTTTTTTTTATCGTCGCAACGCAAACCACGCCAGCCAGGCGCGCGCGCGAAACTTCGTCGAGCGTTCGCACGAATGTTTTATCTCATTAAAATATTTCAATCCGATAAAAAAATGGACCAACCTTAATCCATCCCCCGTGCGCGGTGACGACCACGTACAGCAGATACAGATCTATATCCTTCCCGTTGATCCTCGGAGACTTCTTGAAGAGAGTCCTGGAATTGAGAAAGAGTTACTGGAGTGTGAGAATGTAGGCGAGGCTCATGGCGCGTATCTGCTCGTATATATTCCGTCATTAATTCCTCATAAGATACGCATTAACGTTTCATTATACGCGTTTGCTTTTCTCACGATTTAGGGGGCTCACCGAGACACCACACGTCTCTAGCGACGAGCGCTCGCGGTGGTTGTGTACACAGTGCAACAATCGTCAGCGACTCGGTTCCCGCACACGCCTTCGTCGACGGGAAAATTTCCGAAATTTTATCGTCAACACGTCTCGCTCGGGAGACACAAAAAATGGCGCCCGACTAAACTTTCCTGCGGATCGGGATTTTCACGCGCATCTTACGAAACATCCCGCACGATACACATTCGCCGTCATCGTCGTCCTCCGCGTCGCATATATCGTAAATATTGCCGTTCATTCGATCGTGATATAATACCCGGGGACTAAGCCGGATCGCACGAACGAGGACGCTCATTGGCAATCGGCGTATTTACGTTACGTGGCTTGTGCGCGTTCGGTTGTATCGACACACTATGAACACACACACGCACACACACAAATCGTGAAAATCGTGGGAAATACCTTTCCCGTAATGAGACATGCTCGAGATCGTCGCACCGGAGGACGCACAGGAACGCACGACAAACCGGAATACACACGGGTTGGAGCGTTGTTCACTAGCACGAGATCGAGGTGAGCGAAGATCGGTGGCGACATAACCTCAACTCTCGCTCGCTCATCCGCCCGTCCGAGCGACAATCCGATCCGCTCGCGTGTCACTGCGCCGTCTGACCGCCGATCGCCGGAGCGATCGCGATCGTCCAAGGGGCGAAGGGGGGAAAAGTGCGCGATCTAAGTCCGAGATAAGCGTATACGCGGCGGGAAGAAGAAGAGGAGAGGGGGAGGTGTCGCTGGCGCGATGACGCTTCGCGCGTACACGAGCGAGATTTACACGGCACGGTGAGCGGAAACAGAAAAAACTCGGTAAGAGCGCAAGGGATTCGCTTACCCTCGGGTCTCGTGGAAGTGTCGGAGGTCCTTCAGGAAGTTCTCCCTCTCCCTCTCGTAGGTGACGGGGTCCTTGTTGAGGATCTTGGCCATGTTCGCGGGTAACGAGTGCGCGCGGCGGGCGTGCTAGTCGGGGTGTGCTCTGGGTTTACAGGGCACGCAGGGGCAGCGGGCAGAGAAGCAGAAGGAGGTGCACATGGGCGCGCACGGGGGCACATTTACGCGAGGAGCGTCCTGCCGTTGCTACTGTGGCTGCTACTGTCGCTGCTGTTGTCGCTCCTACGATGCACGACGACGCGCGAGGACGAGGACGACCGCGGGTCGACACGGGGTCGCGACCCGCTCCCAACATCGGGTCGTCTTGTCCTGCCCCGAAGTCGGCCGGTGGCCTCTTCGTTGCTCTTTCTCTCTATCTCTTTCTCTAGCACGTTCTCTCTCTCTCTCTCTTTCTGCCTCTCTTCTCACTCTTGCTCGTTCTCTCTTTCTCTCTCTCTCGGGTGCGCGTTCACTCGCTCTCTCTCGCGCGCGAAACGAGACGACGGCAGCTTTTCCCTGCCGCCCCCGGATCGCCTGCTCTCGCCGCGTAACGACGTATACGCTCTCTCGGTGGCCCGAGAGCGCGCTCTCTCCCCGGGGCTCCCTCACGCCGCGTGCACGAAAAATTCGAATGCGCCGAGATAGTCAGCAGCGGGCGAGCGAGAGCGCGAGACTCGTGTTTTACGCGGGGGCGCGATTCACACGGGCACAAGTTACGGCACAGTACCGAGACACACGGCACAGCACGACACGGTACAAACGATAACGCTGCGATTCGTCTCAAGCGACTCCGCTCTCTCTCGCGCGCGCGCTCGGCCGCAAAACGCTCGACGAACGGCAGCACGACGGACGGTGTGAGTGCTTGCCTGCCTGCCTTCCTTCCTTCCTTCTCTCGCGTTCTCTTGTATAGGCCCCCGCGATCGATTCACCTGTCACTTGTCAACGAAACTCGCGGGATACGCTGCGCCACGCACCACGCACCAGCCGCGTCGCGACGCCCGGCTAGCTCGCGAACGTCCGAATTCGGCCGCGCGGGTCCTACGCAGCCGGCGGAGAGCGACTCACGAGCGCGTTTCACTGCGAGGCGAAGCGCTTGACGTGCGCCCGTATATCAAAATGGCGTCCCTGCTGCTGGCTGCCTGGCATCCATTGGCGAAGCCACCGCGGCCAATTTCCCGTACGCTACCGCCGATCGCTACGGACGCGCCGCGACGGCACACCGTTTCCGCTCACCACACGTCGGCAGCGCGCGCGCGACGCCCGACGACGTGAACGCTCTACGTCATTTTACGCGCGGCACTCCGCGTTGAGAGGCCCGACCGCACGGCGTGTCTCTCACGGCTTTTTTACCCCTCGGCCTGCCTCGCGCACCGTACCGACGAAAATCCCGGATCGCGCACAGTATTTTTACTTTCAAAATGGATGAGCACCCCCTCGCCCCGTGGCCTGCCGGTGCCTCCGTCTAACGCCGCCAGAGGCCGCTAACTGCGTGGCACGGTGCCGCCATCTGTCGACGCGCGACAGGACTAGACGTGTGCCTGACGGAAGGTCCCGGTGCTTCGTCATATCTGCCGATCGTACCTCGCCAGGGGAACCGCATCCGCGTTCACCGAGTCGGGATCTCGTATCCGAGTGTGCGACACGATTCGGCGGGTAGTCGATGCCTCTGGTTCTCACTCACGGTCGATTGCGTTCGTGCGGATTTCACTTCGCGACGTGTCCCAGTCGTTTCGCGACGCGCGAACCTTGTTATGGTGTACAAACGTAAAAAGCAACACAGGGGAGACACGCACTTGAAGAAAGGCTGGCGTACGAAACGGAGGAAAAAGGATCTAGATGAGGTGCGCTCGATTCGCAGCATGATGTTACCTAACCTAACCTAACTGAGCACATGGCGGCTCAGGCGCAACGTGCGTTTCGGTTTCTGACATTGTCGGTTCTCTTGTCTATGATTTCAGATTGATGAGGACTTGAAGGAGCAGAATGTCGAACAATTGTTGAATCAAGAAGTGGATTTCGACAAACCGGGCTCGGCGCAGCACTACTGCATACATTGCGCGTGAGTCTCGCGCGATGTTGCGGACTAACCCAACATAACCTAACTTGTTACTAATAGCGAATTCGGTTATCCATGGAACATACCGGATTAGTGCATATTATAAGAGGTCTGTTCGTTTTCGCTGCACTGCTGAACTAGTGCAATAAGTTGAAGTGAGAAAACATATACTTGTCTTGTCTCACTTCAACTTATTGCACTAGTTCAGCGGTGCAGCGAAAACGAACAGACCTATAGGCTGCTATACATGAAATGGTTATTTAAATTAAAAAAAATGTAAACATTTGGAACGATTGAGCATCTAATAATGATATACTGTTACGTTATTGAACAGTATATTAGTCATTTCGTTATCAGAATACTTGTGTCATGTTGCTGTATTTAAATACTTTATTGAATTTTTTTTTCCTTTACTGGCTGCACCAGGTCACAAGTGTAGCTAATACAGGAACAGAAAACAAACCTTTGATCAGTTTTTTTTTAGCTGAACTGACTATTAGTTCAAAAAATTTACATAAATATTGAAGCATATATACGAGATTCTTACACTTCAGTATGTATTAATTTCTTCAACTAATATATCCAGATTCTGCTAAAAAGAACAGACCACTTAAGTCATGAGGTCTCTTCAGTCCAGTTCTAACGTCCCAGTGCAGGAATAAAAAACAAATCTTATGAGTAGCAGCCTTTAATGTATAGTAATCTGATGCAGGGTGATGAAATTTGCCAAATAGCTTTGTGTAACCAGATCTACTATTTGATGTTAAAAACACTAAGATCCATGTCAAAAAGAATATGTAATAAATACACACAACGTTAATTTTTCGAACTATTGCCGAAAAGTTGAAAACGTTCGCCCTAAAATTCTTGAGAACCGACTGGCCAAACTCGAAAATGGTCACAGTTTAATCAATAAAATCTGGACTCAGTCAAATATCTTGCAAATTGGTTGTGTTGTAGGTTTTGGCTCTAACATACATATATACTCCATATGAAATATATACTTACACGAAATGATTGGTTTCAGGAGGTACTTCGTAAACGAAACCGCTCTCCAAACTCACTTCAACACCAAGGTGCATAAACGACGACTGAAAGCGCTCGAGCTAGAGCCGTACAGCATCGAAGAATCGGAAAGAGCTGCGGGTAAAGGGAATTACGTCGCACCGCAAAAGCGTAAAATTGAGACTGTGACTAAGGACAGTCTTAACAAAATTGACGCGGATGTCGAGCCTGATATTAAGGCAATAAAATTAAAAGAATAAAGTGCACTTGTCGTTTTGTGTGGACGTTGATAGCTCCGATACACAACGGGATTCATCTGAAACTAGAGTACAATGATGAACGCTATGGTGAAACTCTTGCGCCATCGGCGGTTGAATGGCCTCGACTCTTCAATGAGTCGTATTCGTAAGAAAACCGTCATCATGTCATGCTTCAAGAGGCACAGCTCGGCGCTGTACGTCTCTGGCAAAATAGCCAACAAGGTCTTCGCGTTTCTCACGCCGTACTTTGACGTCGGCGAACGGTTCGCCAACATAGAGAAACTGCAGGAGGAGATAACACTGCGCGGTATGGACGTCGACGTGGTCCAGCTGAGGGATCTGTGGGAGTTTTACCGCAAGATGCTCGCGGACAGACGTGCGTTGGAGGATCGCCTGCGGGAAATCTCAAAGAGCAAAAGTCAGTTGACGACAGGCGAACAGACTCACGAGTCGGAGGTGGAATTTAACAGGTTAAGTATGCAGCAACGAATCATCTACGAGGACTTCAAATCGATGAAGCAGGCCATTTGGGACATGGACGATAATGTCGTGCAGAGAGTTCTGAAGTTGCCGAACAAGCTGGACCCGCGAACGCCCACCGTGGAGCCGGTGGTGCTGAGGAACGTCGGTAACGCGCCCTCATCCGAGACGGCAGACGACTGCAGGGATCACATTGAGATCGGTGAGAAGCTCGGTCTCCTCAAGTACTACAACCCTATGCTCTATTATCTGTGCAACAAAATGGCCCTGTTTGAGCTCGGCGTTCTGGCACATGCTAGTCGTGTCCTGACCGACGGCAACAACATGGTCAAGGTGGTCGGCGCGGATTTCGGCCGCAGTCTCGTAGTCGAGGGCTCCGGCTTGGACCACGAAGACCCGATGACCGCTTTCTTCCTAGAGAATCACGAAGAGGTCGAGAGGGGCTCGATGAATCGCATGCATTTGGTCGGCGGCGCTAGCATTTTCACCTTCTTGACGTTGCACGCGAAGAAACTGATCAATCCCAAGGATTTCCCGCTCAAGTACCTTGCCACAGGCAGGCAGTACGTGCCTTTGCCGGCCAACTCGCAGCCCTGTGGCCTCTTCACGGTGTGTCAAGCCTCCGCGGTCCATGTATTCGTCAACGTGAAGGATGGGAAGAGTGAGGAGTACGGGACGCTCTTCGACGAACTCGTGGAGAGCGTGTGCCAGTTGTACGACGATCTGTGCGATCATTACCGCGTAGTGATGAAGTCCGCGCCGCAGCTGGAAACGTGGGAGAGCCTGCGCGTGTCGTTTGAGCTGTGGTCGCCGTTCGCGAAGCAGTACGTCGAGGTGGGCCACCTGTCCGCATGCGGCGATTATTTCAGCAAGCGCCTGATCACAATCTATCAAACGCCGACCGGCACTGACTTCCCCGCGACGATAACCGGCACCGTTCTCTCGGTCCCGCGTCTGATCGGCTGTCTGCTCGAGCAAAACCCGCATGAATTCGTGATACCGCCAAAGGTGGCCGAAATGACGCCCTCGGACGATTGTAAATAAAATAAATCCGAAAGCATCCCCCCCTCCTGAATTGTCGGGATTTTGTAATGTTTCGCGCAACAGTTGTATTTTACATCGAATGTTACTTCTCCAAGTGAACGGAAAGTCTCGCGCCGTTGAACGTAATATAGTGAAACAATTTATTGATATCGCAATTCTATCAGTAGTTGTAAAGATTTGTGGATTCGATATCCTTAGATAGAAATATATTGGACAAAAATTTGTTCCGTATTTTTTTTTATCGATTCCTTATTCAGAAATCTCACGAATGCTCAGCATAACTCGCGGAATTCGTTTACCTGCTATGGCTCAAAAATTACAGGGGTGCGAAGTTACAGATACAGATGAGCGGAGAAAACCAAGATCGAATTTTGGTTGTATTTTGAACGGCGATGGTCTCAGGTAATTTTGCCAATAGGGAAAGTTATTGTTCTCGCTTAAGCACAATCCAGCATGATTAGAGAAAATTTGAAAATGTTAAATTTTTGTTTCACCCCCACCACTTTTTGCGACACATCTGTGATTGGTTTTTCGTACTCGACTAGCACAACTCAGCACTTGCGGAATTCAGTTACCTATTACGATTCAAAAGTTGTGAGGGAAGGATATTGCATCTGAAATTGACCATTTTTATATTTTCTTCTCTCTTAAACGAAAAGAGATAAAATTATAATCTTCGCGGCACAATATATAGTAGTCAAGATTCTAACCAATATAAGTTTTATTTTTTAGAAGAAACAAAAGACTGAGCTGACAAAAAAAATTGTTTTTTTCATTCTCCGCTTTGTTCTTTGAGATAATCGATTTCTTCTTGCGGCATAATGTAGCACAAACCTAGCACAACTCGGCACAGTTTCGTTTCTTCTTAATTTACAAAATGGCGGCGCTAACTTTACACACATGAATTTTTACGGTATATGTTCAATAAAAAGATATACTCACAAAATGATATTTATGATCGATTCGGCACACTTACAAAATTCTCCGAACATTTTCTTTTTACTCGAACAATAAATACCTGTAAAATTAACGTGACAAGATCACGAGAAAAAATAGGTTAATTCGTAAATGAGCGCGTGACTTTTTTAAGGAATAAAACAACTGCTGTTTGTAGTTGAGATGCTCGAGTATTATTGACGCTATTTCGCTAAGAAAAAAAATAGTAGTGGCAAATTATTGAAAACATTAGTGTCACAAAGATGAAACGAAGAAACATTCGTTTAATCTTACGTCTGTGGGTGAATTTGACTCGTATGCGCTCATTTACGAATTAAAAAGAAAAATTGCATACAACTTTAAGGTTATTTATTTATAGAGCGAAAGGGAAATATTCCGAACATCTTACTAAGGTGCTGAATCGATCACAAATGTTATTTTATGGATGTATCTTTTTATTTGAATGTATACTGCAAGAATTTTCGGCATGCTTCTGACGTCATCAACAAGATGACTGCAGCGAAAGACCAGGATCTTTAATCGATTGATTGATCTTAAAATAAACAAATGTTACATGTATATTTTAATTGAAAAACGGGATGAACTTTTGCATCAATCCAATATTTGTAAAAGATAAAATACTACTGTGACATATTTGAAAAATATAATATATGTGTACAATATTCTATTTATATATATAGGGTGTCTCAGTATAAAAAAGACATTTAAATATCTTGAGGGCTAACTATTAACATAATCTAAAAAAAAACTATAAAAATTCGCCCCCCTCCCGTTCCACAGTATTCCTTCTTCGAAATTCTTAAAATTGTGTTCTAAACACATTTTTCATATTGTTAAAAACAGAGGGGATATTTAGGTGCTCTTTATATTGGGACACTGTATATAGCTTAATCCAAGATATATATAATTTATCTCTCGGATAAACGTGTAAAAGATGCATTATCTTCGTCGTTATCAGGCCGCCACTTCACGAGGTATCGCTCGGCGTAGTGCAAGACTTCGAAAGCGACCTCCACCATGATGAGTATAATGATCATCCACTCCAAACGGATATGATGACGATCGCTCAGGTGCGACGACAAAATGCTTACCAGTTCCACGCAGTGATTCAGTCTTTCGTTCATCACCTGCACAAATAAATAAAACACACCGTGTGGAAACATCGTGTGGAGTGCGAAATCGAAATGGCACCTACCCTCGTACGCTTGGCGATGCTGAAATAGCCGTAGATTTGCTGATACAGACTCTCGAGATCGTCACGCTCCCAGTAGAAGTCGGGCGTATCCAAGAGATCCGAGCTCAGGTTGATGCGGTGCCGTAGATTAAACAGCTCACCCTGCTTTCTCAACACCTCCTCCTGCGTCATCCGCAGCTTCCTGCCGGCCTTCAGGTCCTCCGTCACGAACTCGATCGAGTCGATGTAGCGATTCAACGACACCTCCCATATGCCCAGCTTGACGGACTGCGCCATGGCGTTCGAGAACGTGTACTTGTCCAAGTTGCCAGCCTCCCGCGCCAGAATGATATTGCCGTCTCTCAAGTGGCTCTTCTTCCTGTACCGGTTATTCCGGTGATTATTATTGAATTATCACCTTCAAACGTGGCTTTGCTTATCAGGGTTTGCTGCTTATTCTTTCAATTCATTATTCACAATAACTGATAACACAAGAATTCTTATCATGGAACGCAATGTGGGAGGAACTGATTGAGAAAAAGAATAGTGGAAAGGTACCCGAAATCCGCATAAGCATAAGTCATTAACTCGCTCTCGGTATGAATCAGCTCTTCCGTGTAACGATTTTGCTCGTAACATCTCAAAAATTGCAATAGGTTTCCGCATTCGAGATCGGATATATTCCACATAACAATGCTACCTTCTCGGAAGAAAAAGATTTCTCGGGATTCGTGCCCTACTTCGTACTTGGCCACCGCGTGTATGACGTCGGGCAAAGCTGCAAACAAAACAAAAAGAAGAAAGATAATTCGAGATACGTCGTCAAATCCGACTCCGCGACTCGCAGTGGAGTGAAAGGTCGATTCACAAGGCAGGCAGGTAATGGCAGGTTTGTAATATAAATGCATTTCTAATTCCAAGGTTGTGTGTACAAATGTATATACAAAAAATACAAATTCAAATATACAAAAAATATAAATTCATAAGAACTTGAAACATTCGCTACGGCAGTAGGGTCTGTTGCTTCAGAAAGGAATGATATTACGACATAGCTGCGCGGCGATACAATGTGGGCAATTAATAAGGCGACGGCTTTTTCTTTTATTCGCATTGTCCGTTTTGCGCGACTCTCAATCGATTAGAAACGGACTGTCGCAAGCGCCCAGACCGCTCGCCACGCCGCCTTCGTTATCGGTGGACAATTTCGTCCTCAGCATATGACCGCCCAGCCTGTTGACAATAATCTCCTTATCGCTCCCGATAATCACGCCGAATATCCCCAACTCTGAGATCAATTCCTTTGTTTCCGGTTCTGCATTACTTCCAGGCTTCACCACGTAGTTCCTGTGCACCGGCGGATACAACCGATCCATGAGAATCCAGGCCACCCGAGCCTGTTCTGATTTCACGGACTGCAGGAAATCGCGAATGTCCGTGCCGTACTTGTTGTTGCAACCACCTTCCCTCTGCGGTTTCAGCACGAAACGTTGTGGTTCCGAGATGCCCATTTCTACAGCGCTGTTACCGTGCTCGTCGAAGTCTAACGGATAGAGGCCTGAAACGAGATCAATCGTACATTCTTTCACTCGTGATTGGATTATAGTTTTGTAGTTTCGGAAAGAAAATCGTTTTTCCCAATTTTCCACAATTTTTTTCTGGCTTCTTATCTTCTTTACGGGAAAAATAAATGTGGCAGTTTTTAACTGAATATATGAATATACGAATATGTGAATTCTTCTAAAAAAAAAAAAGAATGTACTCTTGAGGCCAGAGGTCGAAGAAATCCGCGGAAAAATGGGGAAAAACACGGGTTTTCTTAATTTAACTGAAAAACTATAAACTAGATCTTACAGACAATTACTGCAAACTTTGTTGAGGTTATAATGAGCGTGTTATCTTATGATTTGTAACTTATAATACAGTGTCCCGGTATAAGAAGAACGCTTAAGTATCTCAAGGACCTAAGTATGGGGACTTTAAAGAAATATTAAAAAAATGGCCGCAAGAAATTTCCCTTTCACGGTGTTCCTCCTTCAAAAACCATTTCAATTGTTCTTTAAACATTTTTTACACCATTAAAAACAGAGGAAATATTTAGGTGTTGTTCTTATGTTTGGACACCCTGTGTACTGAACGGTGACTTATAATTATTAATATATGATGCACAAGAAAGCATCAGTTGCGCACCGGTGAATATCTCCCTGACCTTCGCCGCCGTCTTCTCGTCCTTCAAGAAGCACGCGACCGTGCCGGGCTTCGCCAGAGTTTGTTGAACCTTCTTCGTGCCGGCTAAGTGGTACTGAATGCTCGGGCATTTGATCGCCAACGATCTCTCGATCAGCAGTCTCGCGTCCCATTCTTTTTGGGTGTGATATTGACCGGGTTCGTAGCCGCTTCTGTAATAAACCACAGACACGACGTAGTCATCCACCATCAGTTCCATGTCGGCGTTTAGTCTGGCGGTCGCCGCCAGTTGCGTCAAATTCCTGCGGATCACCCTGACTTTCGGGTTCTGCCTGCGTATCTCGAACTCGTGGAAACGTTGGTCGCAGATGTTGTACGTGACGTCCTCGACAACGAACAGGATGACCGCCCTGCGAAGCGGGATGACGTTTACAAAGGAACGCGGGACGTGAAATGGCTCGGAGCACACGAAGGTTGATTTAACAGGTTGATTTAACAGCGACACGATCGCAACATTGATTAATAGATTAAATGCTGGATATATACCCTCTAAATTTCCCAGAGTGAGATTTCAGTCGAAAAGCATAGTGACAGACGAGCCATTCGAATTCGAGTGATTTTTCATTCGCACAGCGTAAATTCTCCACTCTGAATTTGTCGGGTGAATATTTCCGTTCGAAATTGAAAAGTGTATCTGTGACATATTTCACTATTACAGAAACAAATTCGATCTGATCGATTGGAACTCGAACGAAATCAGAATCCACTTTATCTAAGCTCCGCTTTATCTAATCCGCTTTATTTAAGTTAAGTGGAACATTGAAAAATCTATTACTAATCAGTTACTTGAAATCTGTCTCATGTCGGATACTCAGATTTGAATTTAGAATTAGACTTGAAACAAGATTCAAGTACAAGGAACTCAGCTATATACGATTTCGAATACTTTTATCAACCGCTATTTTCCAGCGATATTTTCACTACTGCTTCGAGCAGCTTCATTCGTTTTCATTCGTTTCGAGCAAGATATCGCTCCAATTCAGAGAGTACGATGAACAATACAACGAGTATCTGGGGGTCGATTATGTATCTCGCTGCTACCCAGTCACCGGAACGAAAAAAATGAAACAATGGCTGTTTCTTAGCAGAAAAGATAACAAAAAGTGACCTATCAGACATAAAAATAGTGACGTTTTTTATAAAATTCTGAGAGCAACTAAGGCCATTTAAGAGCAACAAGGCCACTTTTTAATAGTAACAATTTTACCTTCCCAGCATAACTTAATATATAACAAGTTCTTTTCATACTACAGTTTGAAAGTTCATAACAAGGAACAACCAAGGGCATAAACGATGCAATACAAATATGTTTTTAGAGCAATCGACAGCAGATAAGACGGCAAAAATACATATAGATACGCCTATATTTCACAAATTTAATAGCCGCTCAGAAAAAAGTGACTATACCTATACAGCATAACGTCTAAAATCGGAACATAAAACGTCTTACATTTGTAAGTGAGACGTTCTTCAGACGTTTCATGTCCCGATTTTAGACATTACGTTGTCTGGATAGTAATCTATTTTAAACGATAGTGAATTTTTTAATGACTCGTCAAGAAAAAGCAACAAAAGGTGATGAGTTATTGAACAGTAGCGCTGTGTATCTCAAAACGTAATTACAAGTGAGAAACTCATCAGTGTTGGCCAACGAAATTATAAATATTCGAATAAATTCGCTCGCACTCTTGTAATTCTCTACACAGAAAAAAATTAGTCTTAAAAATCAAGAATAGATATTCTCATATATAAGCAAGAATATTATAATCTTCTTGGAAGCTTTTTAGTTCTGATTTGATTAATATTGATGCAAATATTACTTGAACTCAATTCAAGATTAAAAATCTTGTAAGAAGATTGCAGTATTCTTGCTTGTACATGAAAATATCTATTCTTGATTTAAGACTAATTCCTTTTTCCTGTGTACGTTTCGGAGTACACAATCGATCCCCTGAAGACATCCGTGAGCACACGTACTTCGGATCGCCGTATAAGCTCCACGCCTCTATCATGCCGGAGCACAGCGATTCCAGCGCATTGTTCTCCGGCAGATTCCTCAGCTCGTCCGTGTAGCCGAGCTCCTGCAAGATGAACCGGTGCAGCCGCGTGGTCGCGGGTCCTAGCCAGCCGAAGCCGGAGGCGATCGTGTTAATCTCCACTTGCTTCCAGCAGCAGTGCGGCTTGAGCTTTTCGGCATTCTTCTTGGGACAGCTGGTGTCTAACATCAGATCCGAGCGCAATATACCGAGCGACAGCTTCTGCGCGGCTCCTTCTCTGTGAACGGTCTCGTAGATGTCGAACAAGTTCCTGGTAAATTCGTCGACCTTCACGGTCTCCCGCAGGGTCTCCTTCAGGAAGTCGTAGTCGTGTGCCACTCTGTGTATGAGAGTGTTCAAAATAATCTGGATGTTGCAGGCGTTCTGAAACTCTTCTCGCGGGAACGGCGACGGCAGGAGCGTGAACGGCGCGAACTGTAGCAAGTCCCGGTTGAAGTTGGTCTTGGACCGAAAGCACGTGCCGTTCATCAGCGCCCAATCCTTCGCTTTATCGATCAGCTCGTCCAGTTCTTTTCTCGGTAAGTTCAGCGTGATCGGTAGCTTCATTGTCGCTTGATTGTCCCCGTGCATCCTCTCTCTCTCTCTCTCTTCGAATTAGGCTCTTCCCTCGCACGCCGGTGTTTCCTCGCGTCTTCGACGAGTTCACGTCGTACACTCCGTTGCACGTAATGTGACAATCACTTTTACACTTCCAAAAAGGAAAGAAGAGCTCAAAGGTTTAACGCGGGATGCACATTCGAGATGATTTACGATGACAAGAGACTTCTTATCGTCTCACCAGTTGTCAATAATTCGAGAGTTCCAATATATACGTGGCCTCGTAAACAACATTCGCAAAGATCAGATATCTTTCCAGACGAGTCTCGAGATAAGTGTCGCGAAAGATTGCGCAAAATTCGAATGCACGAGCTTCTGATTATTATCGTGGCACTTGACGCGAACGTTAACCTCGCCTCGATAATATCCTCATCAGAGCGACGCCTTGAATCGATCTCGTTGGAAAGACCTTCCGAGACAATGTTCGACAATGGAACAAATTGCCACGCGCGATTCCCACACAAATTAAATGAAGAAAAAAAACAGCACGCGCTCGTCGGCCGACGACTGGTGACCGGCAAGCAGTGCCGGCGCTCTTTATATGAGCGCAAACAGCTGACGAGTCAGGAAAACCGACCAATCAGCATCTTACGGATCAGATATACCCGGTGACACATAAGTGCGCTCGCGCTTCGAGAAACTACGAATCTGTAGCAAACACTTACGTCACTTGCGTCATTGAAATCAGAATGACACGCAATATATGTGCAGTTAAAAAAGGCCGATTTTTTCCATTTTTGCTCGGAAAGGAACCGAGAAAAAATCCGTGAAAAAATTGAGGGATTCAGCTCTCTTCAATTTTTTTTTCGTTCATCCGCGGAAAACCCGAAAAACTGGATCGTTTACAAGTATTCAGAACTATAGACATGTTTTGTGCATCTTCGCGCAGCTGACGATACTCACAGTTAGTAGACGTGGATATTTTGTTGGGGACATACAACTGCTGAGTCAGGAGGCCGTAGGCTAAAGCTTCCAAATTGTATTCTTCCGCGGTCACCAGAGCTTTCACGTTCCATACCTGGCGGGAGAAATTTTTTCCTCATGATGCATACACGTTTAGTCGTGACAAAATCATTGATCAACCAACAACGCAATTTTCCTCATGATACGACTACGATACGCTCATTGTGTACATGATGCGACCGCGAAAACAAGCGCTTTGAAACGCAAAATATAGATTACGCGCGATATGTAAACAAATAACATGTCAAAGATAGAATTCGAATTCATGAAGCAAGATGAAACAGTTGTACAAACTGGCTACTGCATACAAAAAGGTGCCCACCCGATCCTTGAGCTGCTTCATAGGTTTATAAATATTCTTTTTTCAGATTCTGAATTAGTTAGATTCAACAAGACGGTTGATTTCTGCGATTGATAAAGATGTTTGTTTATAACGTTATCACTGTTTTATCACACAATAAAAAATATCTTGCACTCGTGTTAAAATAGGTCCTTGTTCAAATTTCGGTATTAAATTTTTAACATACTCGGCGCGCATGTTAATTTAACATACATTGGGTTTATGCTATCTCGACATTTTATGTTGCATTGATATTCAACATGTATAAATGTTAGATACATTTTACACTTCAGTGTCGAATAACATATTAATTTCATATATGTAATATTAATTTTTGACATAATATTAATGTTACTTCTCAACATATTCAGCTTATGTTAAATTTAACACAAAATTATTTATTGCGCAGCTGATGAGACCTGGCTCGCTTCTGTTTACACAATTGGAACACATCCTTCTGTTTATTATCGCAAGTTTCTACCTAATGCAAAAATACTCGAGTTTCCCTTTATCCGAGGCCAACTTACATCATTCTCGGGTGTCTTATCGTCACTTATCACAGCTTTGTTCCTCCTGGGCAGTCTTTTCTTGATTTGCAAAGTGGATATATTCCCCGTGGCATCCTCATTTTCCTTCAATTGGTTTGTGTGCAGTAACAGTGTACCGTGATAAAGTCTCGTATGAATTGTGTTTGTGTGACGTGCGAGTGATCCCACGTGCTCTGTCGACGATTTCCTCGGCGTCAAATGCCAACTCGATGTGATCCTCCGACATACGTCGAGGTCGAACATGCGTTTTCCGCAGCACGATATCGTGAACCTCTGAATCATCGCGAGACTCATTTTATCGAATGTTATTATCAAAAACGTTAACAGACCGTTCTGTATTATTTTTCCGCGCGTATTAATTGCGTATTTGCGTAAAGTCCACTGAACGTTATCAAGTCGTCAGATAAACGTCGGAGTAATCATTCATGTACCATGTTAAAGTAGCATATTAATATAATAGCACACGTGTAACCAATTGTCATCTCGTAACGTGAAAGTTCCCGATCACTTCTATTATCAACCACTGATATTATTTTCACGTGTCCACGCACGTCTCACCGCGTGACTCTACCTGTATGACGAAAGGTTATGTCACTCGGACGAACGATAGGTTATGCGCTCTTAACTTTGTTGAGAGTCAAACTTTTATAAATGGGTTTTAAAATTCATCCGGTACATCATATCTACGATATGATGCAAGCTTTGTTCGGTTTAGTCGCAGCGAAAATGCAACAAAATCGAGCAAAGACACAGGCCCACGTAAGATTTGTAAAAATATTCCAGAATATCCTAGAATAAATAGGTCCGTTCTTTTTAGCTGAAGTGGCTACACTAGTTAAGAAACGTATACACATTTGGTCTGTTCCTTTTAGCTGCACTGTTGAACTAGTGCCATAAGTTGAAGTGAGACGAGTATCTGTTTTCTCACTTCAACTTACAGCAGTAGTTCAGCAGTGCAGATATAAAGCACAGACCAAATGATACGTTCAAAAAAAAACAAAAGTTGTACTACGATTGAATAATTCAACATAATTGGCCTAATTTAAAGAACTTTGAAGAACACGTGGTAAGCGTTGCCTCGTTTAGAGTTGGGCGATATAATATCGATATATAGGGGAATAGGGTTTTCCTCCAGAAAAAAAAGATTTTCCTTCATAAATTGCGGGGGAAAATAATATTTTTCTGGGAGAAATCCTTATTTTCCTACGTATCGCCAAACTCTACAACAACTCTACAACTCTACAACCTATGAATATCGGCCTATGTGCTTGGCTGCTCCAACCAGTTTCCACCAACGCGCGAAGCACGATGATCGATTGACTTCTACCAATCGGGAAGTTATTCCATCATCTAATTGGCGCCGAAAGCAGAAGTTTTCTGGTGCGTAACATGGATCCGACTTTAAATTTTCTTCAGTAATGGCCGCATTCAGCAGAACGTTTATTTTGCAAATATTAAAGTTTCCTGTGCTGACATTGGATTATTCTCTAGATTTAAAAGAATGATTCAATTTCAGCTCAGAAAACACCCAACAATTGCAAATTAAACGTTTTGCTGAATGTGATCAATGGCTGTATTCTGCAGAGAAAGTAGCTTTGCAACTATGTTAAAATTCGTGAATTTGATTGGTGTATGCTTTTAGATTTAGCCATGAGTGGATTTTCAACAATAAATTTTCTGCAATGTTATATGGAAATTGTCAAAAAGAGGTGAATTTTTTTGATATATTATTTTTATTTATATAATAAAAGATCGACAAATAATCGTCCATCGAATAGCGAAAATTCGATTCTTATGATTATTGATTTGTAATATAATTCTATAAATAAAATACAACATTGGATTCTCACTAATGTGAGAAATCGAAAAAAGACACGATAGATTACTTGTCGTGATTTAGATTTTCTTTTTAAAAAAATATTTTTTTATGTAAACTTATTTTTTTTTATTTTAGCCAAATTCAGACAACAAAGTTCAAGTTTATTTATTATAGGTTGATTGAATTTCGATTAATTTATTTTAAAATCAGAGAAAGTGTTAATTAACTTAGTATTTATCATTCCTATATCTATTCTGATAATTATCATTATTATATTATAATATCGATTATTAATGTCTAAAATATCTTGGTTTCTT